AGAGGGGTGCATGCTGGGAAAAACCTGATCAGTATTTTCAAGTAAAAGCGGTCATTCAGTGGCTCTCGGGGGAGAAAACAGCCAATCAGAGGCTGGCAGAGTGAACCCAGCGTTTAGACGCTATGAAAACGATGACTTTCACTATAACAGCAAATGGACGGTCAGATCTGAATGAATCAGCATTAGGTCTGCTGGAACTTTATCATCTCAGATCAAATGAAAACTTTGGTAACCCACATCTACATCTTAATGAGCATGAGGATGATTGCATTTTATTACCAAGATAAAGGCCCATTCACACACAACTATAACTACAAAATCTATTATTATCAATGTTCAACGTTGAAAACAGTTTTTGCTGCTTAATGTTTTTGTGTAAACCGTAATACACCACCATTCAAAAGTTTGGGGTCAGTAATATATATATATATATAAAAATATATATAAATTGATCAAAAGTGACAGTAAAGACATTTGTAATGTTACAAAAGATATCTATTTCAAATAAATGCAGTTCCTTTGAACTTTCTATGTATCAAAGAATCCTGAAAACATAGTTTCCATAAATTCAGCTTTGCATCACAATAATAAATTACATTTTAAAGTATATTCAGATAGAAAACAGTTATTTAATTTATAATATTTTTCACAAAAATGTGAAGCGGAACAACTATCTTTAGCATTGATAATCAGAAATGTTTCTTGATGCTCAAGTGACTCTTGAAGCTGATATGCTCAAATCAGCATATTAGAATGATTTCTGAAGATCATGTGACACTGAAGACTGGAGTAATGATGCTGAAAATACAGCTTTGATCACAGGAATAAATTACATTTTACAATATTTTCACATAGAAAACACAGTTATTTTAAACTATAATAATTTGACACAATTTTTACTGTATTTTTGATCAAATAAATCAGCCTTCGTGAGCAGAAGAGACTTCTTTCAAAAATATTTAAAATCTTACTGATTCCAAACTTCAATAGTGTATCTTCCAAAACTAAGAATAAAACTTGTGTAACCACAGACCACCATGTTTGTTTCGTAACACCATCAGTTACATCATCATCATCGTCAATCAAGTCAATGGAATCGTGTGTCAGTTCAGACAGAGGTCTGTTTTTTCCGCACCGGAGCACCAGCGAGTGTGTGTGTTTCCATGGAACATCCTTCTGAGAATCCAAACTCGGTGTGTGTGTGTGTTCCTTACACAAGCAGGGCTGTTATTCTCCATCGGCCTCCTGCACCTTAGCGACCCAATGCATGAGAAAGCGGTCTCCAGCTGCTTGAATGAAAAGAGGGAATCGAACAGAACAGACAGAGAAATGCAACAACCCCCCTGCACCTCTACCCAGCATGCTTTTGTGTTTGGATGTGTATATAACCACCAGTTCCCACATAGTCGACCAGATCCATGGGAGATTAATCTCCACTGACAACGTCAGCTGCTCTCACACTCCTGAAATAAAGGTTCAGAAGGGAGCTTTTGCAGCGAAGCCATTGAAGAACCATTACTGGTTCCCCAGAGAACATTTCAGTGATCAGTTCTTATTAAAAGAACCATTTTTTCTTAGTGTGAAGAACATTTTAAAAATCTAAAGTATGGAAGCTTTCCGCCACGGCATTAAAAAATAAAAAAGGTACATATGACTTTTTATCTCACAATTCTCAATTGTGAGAAATAAACTCGCAAACATGAGAAAAAGAGTCTGAATTGTGAGAAATAAACTCCCAAACGTGAGAAAAAGAGTCTGAATTGTGAGAAATAAACTCGCAAACGTGAGAAAAAAGTCTGAATTATGAGAAATAAACTCGCAAACGTGAGAAAA